CAAACACTTTATAGTAACATAATATTTATCATTAAAACTTATTTATATCTATACTATAAATACATATTAATATATTATTAAAAAATATAAATATATATTATAGTAATATAATATATATATAGAGAGAGAAAGAAAGAGAGGAAGAGAGAGAGAGAAATTCCAACCCATATGTACATTTGTATACCAAAACTTATAAAATACCGAAGCTCAATATAAAAAAGTTATTGCTTGTAAACCATTGTTGCTTGTGAATCATTGGTTATACGATAGATCCGGATTCCTCATGTTACACGTTACAGGAATGACCTTGCTTCAAGGTAGAAAAGTTTTTGTTAGACAATTCGACCCAAAGACTATTATTAGAGGATTTAATTATATTTATTTTATTAAGGACAATGAGTGAAAAGTTTGAACTTATCATTTATCATATTAATTTGACTTGATTAAATCTCGATGTTATAATGAGTATGAAATATTTTAAGAAAGGGACTCTAGAAAAGAGATGGCGTGATAGAATAGACCTAGAGAAGTTTAAAAAATATAAAATTAAATGATTAAAGACTTTATTGTTTAATCTTAGAATATTATCATATATTTTTATTTAGTATTATATTATTTTATATTCTCTAAAATAGGATGATGATACTTAGAGGATTTTAATATGTAGAATGTTTTTTTTTTCATGAAGATTTTAGATAAAAAGTCTTGACTTTTATTATTTTTTTTTTAAAAGAAGAGATTCATAGGAATATAGTTTTCTAGGAATTATTTTTATTCCACTTTTCATAAAAACATTTTCATAGAAGTGGAAATCCAACTTTTTGAGTTAGAAGAAAAATTTTACATATATAAAAAAAAATTATATCTCTTTTTAAAAAATATATTTTTTTTTTCTCTTCTTATTTCTCTTTCTCCCTCTCTCACACATTCTCACTCCCCCTCTCTTCCTCTCACCTTCTCTCTCTTTTCCTCTGGCTCACCCCCTCCCCACTCTCATCCCTTTCACATCTCAATTTTTTTCTTATATTTCATTATTTTTTTATTTTGTCAATTTTAATAATATCATTGAAGTCTATTTTATTTTTACATTTTAATAGTATTTGTTAACACCTTTTATTTTTTTAATTTTTTTATTAATATGAAATAAAAAAATATTTTTTATTTTTCATAATTATAATGTAATTTTTTTACATTTTTGTTGATTTCTGTATTTAAAGAATTTTAATAAGTTTTGAACCTTTTTAAAATAGTTTAATGTCATATTTGTAATAAAATTAAGTAAATAAATATATCTAATGAATTTATTTTAATAAAAAATATATTTTGTAAAAAATATTTATATACTCATGAATATATACTATTATAACCAAATATGAAAATCTTTAATTCTTGAAATCCTATATGAATATTTTCAAGAACTTGTATAAGTAATCAAACATATTTTTATTGAAAGGAAATATATTTGTAATTCTTAGGAATTATAATTCTTGAAAATGAAAAAACTTTTTCCTTGCCAAATGTCCCTTATTGAATTGTAACGATCCGCCATGTCTCACACTGTCTATAGTATTCAAATATAAGTATAAAATAAAATCTCACTACTAAACAATTAAATATATAATGAGAATACAGAACTAAAAAGTCCCACAATATATATAACTGAAAGTAGGAAATAATACCCTGTACAACAACTAGGTAGTCAAAAGCTACCAATCAACTAAATACAACGTCAGCCCTCCTCCTGAGTCCCAACCAAAAAGAAGTTCACTCACTCCAGCAGAGCACCTAATCCTGATCTGCTCACATACCAAGGTATGATCATCGCAGTCCCAACCACATAGGAAAAACACGCTAGGGTAAGCTCACAACAAATCACAAAAAAATAACATCAACATATAATAAACAGCAATAGAATTCTACTTTCAACTTGCAACTTAAAGCAACACAACATCTACAACAATAGATATACAATATCATCTACTAGCAACAACATTTTCAACACACAACACTTTATTCAAATTGGCCGCTTGTAATCGGTATAGCTTGGCCTGACCCCTATACCGTGGTCGCTTCATACACGTGTGCCTCGACCTTGCCCACACATAGGACCAACCAAGTTCTAGAGGAGAACAACACATCATCCACTCCAAGGGACAACTTTCCAAGGAGGGTTTTTAAACAAATTGGGCTCTTAGAGCACCACAACTATCTCAATTCGCACAATGGGATGAGCAACTTTGAAAACTTCTCCTCTGGTCCTAGTGATCAACAACTCATGACAACACAATCACATAGTATTTATCATAATAGCTCAACTATCAACTCATTCATACAACATTATATACAACTTGAATGCAACAACCCATGCAACATCAACTAATGTGTTGTCACGCATATACAACTAGGAGATCTCCAACAACTGAGGTTGAGCAGTCTATGTGTAAACCCTACCGAATCCAGCATTTGACCTATCTCAACCAGGTCAGGTATAGGACATCGTTACGAACTCTGAAGAGAACCAGGTATAGACAACAATAGGCGATTGCTCAGGTGTGCCACTTAGACTCAAAGGTCCAGTACTGCTGTCAGGACAGAAGGGTTTGGGTGTGAGCCTACCACGACCTTGGCTAGTATCACCAATCCACATATGGAGTTAGCCCACCCACTATCCTCTAAGTACCATGCACCCTCCAGTACCTAGTCAAAGTGATGGAAAACTTGTTGAGAAACTGGATTGATGTGGATTCCTCTACAAGTTCCTCCCTAGACCTTTGGCTCCTTGATTCTTCTTAAGCTTCTCCAAGGTCTCCAATGGAGGAAAAGACCTTGGAAGCAGCACGGTTTGGTGGAGAACCCTCTCAAAAGACACCACTCCTTGGAGAAGAGATAAGTCTCTTCAATTCTCACCACACTCTTCTATGGAAGGGATAAGAGAATTGGATGAATATCAAAGAGGTTAGGACTTTTAGAAGAGAGAAAAATTGCTGAACAATTTTCAGAATTCACTCTCAATTATGCCAAAAGTTGATTACAAGTGAAGGAGAAAAAGTTATATAGGGTGAGGGAAACTTGTGGTGCAAGCTAGGCTAACTATGGTTCAAGAGAACCATGGTTAGCTTAGCTTGATCAGTCTAGTTAGCTTGGGAAACTTGTGGAGTAAGCTTCTAACTTAGAAGCTTGGGAAGCAAGCTAAGTTAGAAGCTTATGGTATAAGATTCCCAAGTGTGTAAGAGAAGCTAGGTGAATTCGGCCAAGGTACCAAGCTAGGTGGCCAACTTGCTTTGCTCCATGGTTAATCAAATATGAAATTTGGGAATTGGTTTAGTTGGGTTCACCATATGATGGTGAGACCTAGCTAAATCAATTCCTTGAAAAATATGGAGCAAAACAAGCCCAATATGTAAAATCTGGCCTAGGC